GACTAGTAATGAGTTTCAGTACTTCTTCATGTTTGCTAGCCTTTTGATTAAAAAAAAAAATCTCTGACCACTAACTGGAGGATTGATGGTGGGGGAGGGGCCAGGGTGGAGGAGGGATGCCAGGCAGATGGCTGCCCCACAGTCCGGGTGAGCTGTGCGGGAGGCTGGCAGCAGGGGAGGCGGGGGAGGGGTGTAGTTTGAAGGCAGAGCCCATAGCAGGTGGGTGGTGAGGATTTCAAAGAGGAATCAAAGATACTGCTTAGGTTTTTAAACTGAACAACTGAGTGAATGACAGTGCCATTTACTGAAATGAGGCATATTGTGAGGGAAGTAGAAGGTTGTGATTGGTTTGTTCTTAATGGTTGAGGGGGATGGGTGTCAAGATCTAATCTCTCTCCAGATCTAAGCTCCTCTCCATTCTGACCTTTCTCTCTCATTGGATGACACTGACTGCCCTTCATTTCCCTTCCTGGAACCCTGTGCTTCCAGTTTCCATGGCAGCACACCCCGTGGTTCTCTTTGTCCCTCTGTGCATTTCTCCCCCACCTGCTCCCTGGATGCCCATGACTGCAGGAGTGTCTTCAGTCCTTGTCCCCCTCTTGCAGGTTTCTCTGAGAGGTGTCATCACTTCCCGTGGCCCTAGTCACATCAAATTCTGATGCTTCCCAATGTCTTCCTCCCAGCCAATCCCTCTATAAGTCCAATCTCTTGGATGCCTCCATAGGACCCACCACCCAGATGTCCCATTGTCATCTTAGTGCAAACTGTCCCTAAGTGAACTCATTGCCTTCTCCAGAAGCCTGCGTCTCTGACTGTGTTCCCTCACTGTGATTTACTGAGTCATCCAAGATGCAAAATGGGGAATTTCATACTTCACTGATTCTAAGACACACATTTTTTGACCCACATTTTAGTATCTTAGAATCCTAGGCGTCTCACAGTTGCTGTTGGCCAGGCAGCAGTTATGACTTGGGTTTTTACTATCTACACAATTGCAAGCTTGATCATTGTTGCTCATAGGATAAACCTTTGAATTACCATTTGCTTTGTAGGAACTACACTATGAGCCCTTCTCTGCTGGTTAGCCTTTTATATTTATTTTAATAAGTCACTGTGGAGAATTGTTGAGTTTCATCATGATATGAAATGTCTTAGAAATATTACACTATTATTTGGCATTGAAATGAAGAGTTAATGTGTGAGAAAAGGCATGGAAATGGAGTGATGGGACATAAATTAGATGTTAATGCAAACATTCGTCATTGAAGGAATGACCAAATGCCACAGTTTCTTACAAAGCAACTGTCAAGCACTTTACTTGACCTAAGGAAGAAAGGACAGGGCGGTGTCACTGAAGGCAGTGGAAATCGCCAGTGTCTTTTTCTGGTTTTCCTTAGTGGAAAATAAATTAATGGTGCATTTTACAATCAATGAAGGTTGAGTGAAATCTGATAATTCTAGATGCTTCGAGCTCCGCCTCCAATCAGCTTCCAAGTCCGGCAGTTTCGTCTTCCCTAGCAGCTCTTGAATCTGATCATGCCTACTGACCCCGTTCCTACTGCTTTATGTCAGGCCTTCAACATCTCTTGCTGGGCTATCACACAGCCTCCTGACAGGTCTCCCGGCCCCCGGCCTTGTCCCCGGGATCCGTCCTCCACGCTGCTATCTGAGACATTCTGACTGAAGTGCAAGTCTGATCGTTCCTCCGCTGCCCACTGCCTGCAGCTGAAAGCCCACCTCCTTCATGCCTCCCGAAGTGGGGTCCTGCCTTCTCCTCCAGCCTGCTCTCCTCCTGGGAACAGGCCCTGCCTGTTTTTCCCCTGCCACACACCTGCAGACCTGTCAGACTGCCTTATGGACCCTGGAATGACTATCCTCCTTCAGTCCTTAATCCCATCTCACTTGTGAACTCCTACTCATCTTTTGAGTCCTAACCCAAAGTCACCTCTCCAATGAAGCCCCCCTTGATTCCCTCTCCTGACCACCAATGTTTATCGGGTAGAGTTGACCACTTTCTCCAATACTGCCCCACTGCACCCTTTCTCAGACTTCTACATGTTTCATGCTAGAAGAAAATTAAGTACACTTTGGTATAGCCATCAAACAGAATATTATTGAGCCATTAAAAGGGATGCCATGGGAATATGATTAATGATCATGTGAAAAAAACTGGTAAAAGTTGTATATACATTCTGATGTCATCTAAAATGTAAATGCATGGGAAAAAAGACTATAAGAAAATATGTAAAAATTTAATAGAGGTTTGCTTTTGGTAATGGGTTTATGGTTGATGTTTATTCTTTTATAAATCTAGTTTTTTAACTAGGTGGGGATTACTGTCACGATTAGAAAAAGTACTGAAAATTCTCCCACTGTAATTAGAAAAATCATATAAAGCTATGAAGCAACTTTACATTGTGTTTCTGTGGCTGTTTTTTCATCCTGCTTTTCTCCTGTGGCAGGTTTTATGGCCGGAAGATGGTGAATATCTTGATGTCAAACACAAAGTTTGATGCGTTTCTGAAGCAGTCCCTCCCGTCCCACGACTTGCAGAAGGTCATGATGGCTGTTAAACAGCGGGTGAGCCAGCTGTGAGGTGCGAGCTGGTCTAGGGTGGGGAGCAGAGCAGAACCTGGCAGCCAGTCAGGGAAGTGGGGAGTGCACTCCAGAGGCTTTAGCTTCCTGCACGACTCTGACAGGTGAAATCTCCTTCCTCTGTGCCTGGTTCTGCCTCCCACTGCCCGTGTCTCCTGGGCCTCCCTGGGCCTCTGGGCCTCCATCTTTTAAATGGGGATCTTGACCCCTGGCTTAACTGCCAGTGATCCGGAAGGCTCCGCTGTGTCCTCTGAAGCTCTCCCAGGTGGAAGGGGTTATCTCTCCTGCTATGGTCTAGACTGGAGGGTCTGCAGTCCACCAGAGGGCCAGCCTTCTGGCTCATGTTCTGTGTGTATTTTTCAAGGGAATAGAAGATGGTGGTGAGCTTCCATCTGCCAAAGGTCGCAAGGTGTCGAGGAGCCTGGTGGTGTGTGAGAGCGGGCTGCCCAGCGAGGCCAGGTACAGTAGACCTTGTCTCTCCGGGCTCCACATCCGCAGCTGCTGATAGCGGCGCTCTGCTCGGCCCAGGCCGAGGTGGCTCTGGGAGGGGGCGTGTGTCTGGGCTGCGACTGAGACCTAGCTGGGGCAGCAGGACTCCTGGGTGAATTTACAGGAT